AATTTGGACAGCCTTCGGCGCGTCGCTGTGACGTAATCGGTCTACAAATGCGTCCTCAGGAGGAAGCAGCCCATGAATTTGGACACGACCGTAAACTTCCTTTGTGTGCTCTTTGTTTCAGGACGTGGCAGCCAGGGGCTTGGACCTGCCCCAGGTCACCTGGATTATTCAGGTGACTTTATGTTATCGAATGAATCAGGATGCAGCGAGTGATTTATTTTGTCTGAAAAGGACGAGTGAGAGTCACGACTGTAAGCGTTATGGTTGGGGAGCAGGCGTGTGATTCCAGATTACATGATGATGGGTTTGTGGATGTAGCCAATCTGGTGGCAGCGCTGCAGTGAGGTCATGTGTGGGGCGGATACCTGTCGTTTGAATCGTTTGTCAGCAGAAGACGGGGTCTGTGAACAAGTACGCTACCCCAGGTTTCCTGTCTGTACGAGTCTGATGAGTGAAGGAGCCGAGTCATTGGCTTATATAAGCACTGCAGTTCCTGTGATGTCCACCAGGGGCTTTATGCAGAAATCATTTTGAAGTCATTGCTCAGAGGTGTCGCAAAGATGGCCGCCAGGTGTCTGTAGAGCTTAGAGCGTAAAGCTGGTCGGCTCAGTAGAGACGGTGTCGTCTCTATGGAGACGAGCTGTCTGTCAAGAAGCTGCTGCTGAGCGGCGACACAGCGGAGGGGAGGAGCAAGCGTGCAGAATAAACAGCTCAGATCGCAAGCACCTACATGATGTATCTAGCCAATCAGCGAGCAGGACATGACTGATAACCTTGTTGGTTTTCCCCAGTACACTCCTCCCACCGCAGCGGCCGAGTACGTTCACCGCGTCGGACGCACAGCTCGGATCGGAGCGCGAGGAAGCAGCCTCCTCTTCCTCACCCCCGCTGAGACCGCCTTCATCACTGAGCTGGCCAATCACAACATCAGGTTTGCTGACGTGCAGCGTCATGCTGGGTGGTACTTGTGCTGGTTTTAACCATGTGGGTGGGGCTTACTGTGTTTCAGCCTATCAGAGATGAAGCTGCAGGACATCCTGTCCAGTCTGATGTTCGATGATGTCTACAAGGGGCGGGGCAAGTACCATAGCAAGGTAGGTCACTTCTGTCAGGTGGCTGCAGGTGAGGCTGGTGATTGGCTGAGACACTAAATGTTTTTTTTATCTCGAGCAATTCAAGCTCCGCCTCCTAGTTAACTCTGGTAACTTGTAATAGCTGAACAGCACCAGCAGGCGGCGCCTCCTTTGACGTTTTTGGATGTAGGCTCCCATCATGGACTCTGAATGTGTTGCCATGGAGACCTGGCATTGTTGGGCCATGTGGACAGCGTGGGGGTCTGTGATGCTGTTAGCGCGCGCTGCAGGGCGTGCTGAGTGACGCCGCGGCTACGATCTCCACCTGACCTGCTTCAGCTGGTTCTCCATAACAACCAGTCCGAGCCGACACCAGCCCATTCCCGCCGCTATCGGCTTTGCGATTGGTGCCGCAGCTTTGTGAGGCGAGCGTGAGCAGGAGGTTAAAGAACAAGGTGTGTTTAGCGGCGAGCAGATCCCTGATGACGAGGAAGCGCCAGCCTGCTCGTTAGTCTCCAGACACAGGAAGCGTGTCGTCTCTGCCTGGAGCCCGCCTGCGGGGCGGCGATCCCCGTGTGTGTCGCTGTGTTTAATGAGGCTCTTGTAGTATTTTTAAAAAGCTTTAAGACTCTGAGTGTGACTTCGGCCCCGACCGCCTGCTGTGCCGCTTTAAAGTCGCTCCCGTCAGCCAGTCAAAAGCGCCGTGGCGACGGCGTGTGTGTGTGAAGCAGGTTCAGCCTCTGATGTTTCCGCTTCCATGACGCGTGACCGGCGGCGACCTGATGCTTGTGCCGTCACGCTGCAGCTGTCAGAACAGATTTCAGCTCCTCTCTCTCCACGTCGACCTTTATTTAAACATCTGTTGAGCAGACATCAGGTGGTACGTGGGCGCGGCTCGCACGCCGCCGTGATGTTCGTGCTGATGCGGGAGCAGAGCTGCTGAATCAAACAGTCTAAACATTCAGGAATTCTGATTCTTCCCTGTCGGAGTAAACAGGAATAAATCAGCGTGAGCGCTCGCACGTCGACCCGCAGCAGCTCACACGTGCTCAGTGTCGGCTGTGACGAGCGCGCCCTCCGTGCAGGTGTGCACCTTACAGTAGCCCCTCCCACCACCCCAGTCTGAAGTCCTCACCTTTAACACGGGTCAGAGCAATGAGTGACATCACAGACCACGCAGCCCAGCAGGGTGCAACAGTGTGGTGCAGCGCCCCCTGCTGGTCACATGTGGTGCTTTATTAAACCGTCCCAGCGCTGAGGCGAGGGAGCTCGAGGCGAGGGAGCTCGAGGCGAGGGAGCTCGAGGCGCAGACGGCGGCTGAGTCTGACGTGTTTTTTTTCTTCTTCCTGTCAGAGTTCGTCCAAAGCTCTGGAGCAGGAAGTCCGCGAGCGAGCGACCGTCCTTCAGACTGAGTTTGAGAACTTTGTCCACGCGGACGCTCGGTCGCTACAGGCTGCCAAGAAAGGTAACGATGGCGAGAACGTGAGGAGAGAGGAGAACGTGCTGCTGTCTTATTGGCTGACCTGTCACTGTGATGTCACCAGCACTGCAGTCCTTCCTGCGAGCGTACACCACCTACCCTGCTCACCTCAAACACATCTTCCACATCCGCTCGCTCCACCTGGGCCACGCCGCCAAGAGCTTCGGCCTCAGAGACGCTCCGCAGGGTCTGAGTGCCGCCTCCGGGCGCCACAGGAAGAACCAGAACCAGGCCCGGAAGCAGACCGGGAGTCCGGCCAAGAACCAGAAGAAGCTGAGTGGAAAGAAGAGGTGAGTGAGGTGCAGCCGAGGCTTCTAACCTTTAACCTTTAACCTTCTAACCGGGGGCCGTTTGTCAGCACACGGCCCCGACGCGCTTCGTGTAAGCGAAGGAAGCACGAACGCTTTCAAACACAAAGATGGCGACAGTAAAAGCGCTCAGGCGAGGCCTCGACGCAGCACGA